CCATACATAATTTTGGTTGCTAGCATTAATCAAACTAGCCTGGCATTTCCTGCCAAGTCTATGAATGCGCAATTGGTAGTATGTTGTTTGGGAAAGAGAAGGCCACTCTTCAAAAAAAAAATTGAGCTTAAAGATTGGAAATTGTACATTGAACTCAGAAGAGGCATGCTCAGAATTATGACTCTGTGTTCAAGCTTTAACAAATGCTTTGACTTTTTATGGTCTTGACCTACAGAGCCCAGCTCATCCATTCCAGTTTGCTTAGAAACATTACAATTTCTGATTTTCAAATGGACAAATCAGGCTAGTGATGCTGCCTCCTTTTGATGAGAGACACGGATGTCAGGTCAGGCATTTTCCTATAGTCATCCCCTTCTCAAACCAATTATTTTTGGCCTCCTTTTGGACCTCAAAATAGGACCAATGACAAGTAGGGAAATGTATATAAAGATAAGTCAATTTATACATTTTTAAGATACAAGCAACGGCAGATGAAAGAATCAGTTCCCGCCACAAAAAGCAGGCACACTGAATTGTGATTTGATGTTGATGTAAATGGAATTAATTCTGTGAAATCTTTTGTACTTCCCCGGCAGATTTGGTAACTCAGTAGAAAAGCTTGAAACATGCCATGAACTGTATGTTCCTGGGAGAATCCTAAATGCGAGTCCGTTCAGGATATCTTAGTAGTTCAGATTTCGTATGCCGCCCTGGGTAGTGGAAGGACGCAATGCAAGAAGTGGGTGGGTTTTCTCATTTCTCGTGATCCCATCCTGGGTCTGTAACTGTTCTCCAGTGAGCCAACCCCAACCTAATTTCAGTGCCAATGGTATATTCCATTTTAGGTAGAATTAAAGAATTAAATAAATAAGAGCACAAATAGTGGGCAAAACACAAGCATAAAGTGGACCACCTGCACATGCCACAGAATTGGACAATTCCAAGGAGTATCTACCCCCACTCGTTCTCAGAATTCACTAATTTATTTTGCTTTCTAAAGAGCATGAAAATAATCTCCTCTGAAAAATCAGGCAGCAGGTCTTCCGACTCTTGATCGGCAGCTAGAGAAGATCATGTTGGCTGAGTTCGATTTGGGAGAATTTCATTGTGAACCCACAGGCATTGTCCTCCTATCGCTGGGTTGGATTAGGCTAACACACCATTTGCTAGCCCTCAAAGGGGTCAAAACGTAACACAAATCAACTAGGCTCGGTGTTCTTCCCCTAAATCAGTTGGAGGAGGCCAGTCTTAATAACAACCCCAGGGGGGCCGCCTGGGTGGCTCAGTCATTGAGCATCTGCCTTCGGCTCGGGTCGTGATCCCAGGGTCCAAATAGCAACCCCAGGATCTTAGTCCAACAAAAGTGTATATGTCCCCAGGACATGCATGTTCTCTACACGCTGACATAGGGATCCAAGCTGACACGGTGGCTTCACTATGTAAAACGCCACCCTCCTTAGTTAACATGAGCAGAGAAAGACACTGGGGAGTCACGTGTGGGCCACACACCGTGCGTGTTCGCACACACCAACATTGCACCAGGCAGGACCGCTCACGTGGCATTTCCCTGCAAGGCATGCTGGAAAGTGTGGGGAGCAGATGGAGCTGTCAGTGGGCACCAGTCTCTGCCCCAAACTCTCAGAACTCAGATCCCCTGACTGCAGCCAAACACCAAAACAAATGCTCGTAAATACTAATTCTGTCCTCATCCTGGGAGATGTCCAGATGTTGAATAGGAATTTCAGGCCAACAGCTCTACAGAGCACAATGGTAGATGTCAGGTAGATGTGAAGATACCAAGGAAGGTATCAATGTAGATCCTTGGTCAGTGCATATTCCAGGCAGTATGGACAATGGCTGGGATTAGGCACCCCCGTGAGGATGGCAGCCATCACAACAAACAAACAACAAAGAACAGGATATAACAAGTGTTATCAGGGATGTAGAGAGATGGGAACCCTTGTGCATTGTTAGTGGGAATGTAAAATGGCGCAACTGCTGTGGAAAACAGTATGGCGGTGCCTCAAGAATTAAAAATAGAACCATGCCGTGATCCAGCAATTCCACTTCTGGGTGTATACCGGAAATAACTGAAAGCAAATGTCTTGGAGAGACATTTGTACATCCATGTTCATAGCAACATTATTCACAATAACAGGAATGTGAAAGCAACCCAAGTGTCCATCAACAGATGAGTGGATGAGCAAAATGTGGGTCCATGCACATGGTGGAATATGACGCAGCCTTGAAAAGGAAGGATGTTCTGCACCTGCTATGATGTGGATGGACCTCAAGGACATGGTGCTGCATGACATAAACCAGACACAGAAGGACAAATCCTGTGTGATTCCACATATACGGGGTCCCTAGAGGAGTCCCATCCACAGAGAGGGAGAGTAGGTGGTGGGACCAAAGGCTGTAGGAGGGGGGATGAGGACTTAGTGTTTGATGGGGACAGAGCTTCAGTTTGGGGAGATGGAAAGTTCTGGGCATGATGGTGGGGATGGTTGCACAACAGTGAATATGCTTCATGCCCCTAACAGCATATTGCCACATGATTAAAATGGCCAATTTTTTTGTTATAAATGTCTTAATTCAGTTACAAGGAATCAGAGAGCCCCAATACAAGTATATAAGGCTGTTTTTCAATTACCACTTAGTCCTTGGAAGGTAGAAACCCAGTCCCTCCTTAGACAGCGCAGCCCTGAGTGGACCCCATGTTCTGTCCCAGCCCCTGTGAGTCTGGCTGAGGGGCTGGAGACAAGGTCACACGGCCACCAGACACTCAGCCACATACAGTGCGCAAAGCCGTGGTGGCTAAATTGAGGCTTGTGATGTGTCCGTCAGACAAGTGAATTGATTATCACTCTTTTAGCTTGGGAAAACTAAGGATAAGTGTCCCCATTTGGAGGGGACAGATGGGCAGATGGTTGTGAACAGAGAGTACAAGAAATGTCTGAGATGGCTCAGATAGGGGCAGAGGAAGGAATGTGCTTTCTTAAGCCTCATGTGTATTTGTGTAATATTTTAAGGGGTATTTTGAGAACTCTTCCTCTTGCAAACAAGGCTTATGTGTGCCTTTTAAAAAGTAGAGAGATCCAATTGCATGAAAATGCAATTAATTTCTGCAATCTTGCTTGAGCCTTGGGCCCATCAAATCCCTTTATAGAGCATGGAGAGCACCCCAGTTCGTAGATCTGGACGTCCCAGAAACTTGGCAAGGCACCTGCCAGATATACAGGTGAGCCTATTGGGAGGCACACTGGGACCTCAGAGGCACAGACTGGGTGGGAAGGAGCTATGGTAACAGGATTCTGAGGTGGTCTCGAGATTTCTGTGCCCTAGTGCACACACCCTGTATCATCCCCTCCCCTGGAGTATGAGCAGGACCCATGAACATGACAGATGTCACTCCCCTGCTGATGTTACTAATCAGGTAACTGTGACTTCATCAGAGGGAGATTATCCTAGGTAGGCCTGACCTAATCAGAGGATCCCTTCAAGAGAAGGTGAATTCTGCCAACAACAAGAATGGACCATAAGAGAAATTTAGTCTTCAGATGAGAATGCAGCCCCAGCTGTTTTCTTATTGAATTTTTTTTTTTTTTTGAAACCCTGAGCAGAGGACCCAGGTGACTCATACCTGGAATCCTGACCCATTGCCATTGTGATATAATGCATCTGTATTGTTCTAAGCTGCTAAACTTGGGGGACATTTGTTACACAGCAACAGCTAATATGGCAGCTGCGGATTGGCAGAGCTGAGGTGGAGGAGGATGCAGGGGATGACCAGAGAACATTTCTTGGGGTCTCTATAAAGGATGGAGTGGCTGGGCATTTCATACCTGGGCTCAGTACTCATAAATTGCTCATTTCCTAGGAACTGTAGGGTAGAAAGTAATCAGAACTAACCAGGGCAGAGCTTTCCATGTCCATGGCCCTGTGAGAGATATCACTTCTGACTCATAGGAGCTCCTTGGATTGAGAACACATCACATCAGCAGGAACTCGGAGCACAGAAGAGAATGCGGTGGACCCTCTGCTCATGCAGACGTGATTAGTTAGGATGAGATCGTGGGATTGGATCCAATATGAGTAGTGTCCTTATAAGAAAACCACAGAAAACCAAAGACAGCAAGCAGATTGGAAGGATGCATCCACAAGCCAAGAGATGGCAAAGATCCCTGGAAAAACCACCGAGTCCTGAAACAGACTCTCCATCAGAGAATCCACATGGAATCAACCTTGCCCTCGGATTTCTAGTTCCCGGAACTGAGAGAATACGTATCTGTTATTCAAAGACTCCCAGGGCGCCTGGGTGGCTCAGTCGGTTAAGCGGCTGCCTTCGGCTCAGGTCATGATCCCAGGGTCCTGGGATCGAGTCCCGCATCGGGCTCCCTGCTCTGTGGGAAGCCTGCTTTTCCCTCTACCTCTGCCTGCTTCTCTGCCTACTTGTGCTCTCTCTCTCTCTGTCAAATAAATAAATAAAATCTTAAAAAAAAAAAAAAAGACACCCAGTTTGGTGTTTTGTCATGGCGGCCCTGGGAAACGAATACCCGTCTAAACAAAGGATTTGGATATCAAGCATGATCTCTGTTCAAGGGAATTTCAGCCAAATAGCCAGTAGGTGCAAAATCCAACACAGTTGTGTGCAAATTGGTCCAAATCACGCAGCGCTTACCAGTGTATCTAATCAATATGACAAGAGGACAGGTTAGTGCCCCCAGATAATTATTTCAAACACCCATTACCGAGTATAAATCTCACAGGGCTGGAGAAAATGATTCCGGGTCCAGCCCCACTGAGATTCTCTGTCTCTGTCTCGGGGCAAGAATATTTCACAGTAGAGGAATATTGGGAAAATTTCCCAACACCTCCTGTCCACAGAGCAAGGGCAGCTTTTCGGGGGGAATAATGGATGATGACCAGCCAACTGGATCCTAGTGGTTGACTCTTCAACATTCAAATATGACAACTCATATGTAGGTGACTCAGAAGATGAATCCTGATGGCAATGAGGCATCTTCAACAAATCTCCCACGTCCCCTCCAGTTGGGGTCTGCTGGTGACAAATCATCCTCCTGCCAGTTCATGTCTACATCTTATGTCTTGTCCTCACCTGTGTCTAGTTATAATATGAGAAACATCAGGCACCAAATACCTTCTGGTGCCCAGCACATCAGTGCAATTATTTTAATAGATTTAGACAGACTTAATTGGGACAAAAGGTGTCAGAATGCTTGAGTAACCAACTGTAAATCCTACATAACCAACATTATTAAGGATGAAGGAAGCTTCTGAGAGAAAGAGTAACTCCTTAAAAGAAACCCCAAAACAACCAGTCTACCACACTTGGTGTCTTAGGCCAGGCTGCTGTGACAACATACCATAAACCAGAGGGCTTAACAGCACAAATTTATTTCCATGCAGTTCTGGAGGCTGGAGGTGTGAGATCCAGGTGCCAGCAAGGTTGGATTTTGGGGCGGATGCTCTTGCTGGCTTGTACATGACCGCCATCTTGTGTGTCTTCATACGACAGACAGATTGAGCTCTTTTCTTGTAAGGAGAGTAATCCCATTGTGGAGCCCTACCCCCATCTGGCCCTAATGACTTCCCAAGGGCCCCACCTCCTAAAACCATCCCATTGGGGGAGTAAGCCTTGCACATGTGAATTCTGGGGGGCTGGGGGGGAGACATGATTCTCTCCATGCACCCAGCCTTCCTGTTGTGATAAACAGCATCATCCAGACACTCAAACCAGAATCATGGAGCGGATGCCTGACTCTTCCTTCTCCTCATCCCCCCACATTCAGTACATCTTCAGGCTTTGTCAAGGCATATACTTCCAGTCTGCCCCATAGTCTCCATCATGGCATCCACCATCCCAGACGCAGCCGCCACCATCAACCTGGACCATGATCACAATCTACTGCTGTGTTCACTCTCTCTTTCTTATCATTCTCCAAGCACTGATGCAGATGGAGCCTCCATGACTCCATCTGCAGGGACTCGCTTGAATGCCGCGGGCTCTAAGCAACTGTACATCACCCCACTGCACCCTCCAAGACCCGATGATCTCATGCTTCAGCCTCCCCACGTCTCCCTACCTGTCACCTGCCCTCCTGCATCAGGCACATCACACTTCCCTGGGCTCTTTGGACCCACTCAGTCCTTCCTGTATCCAAGAGATGGATCAGAAGCAATAATTATAGAAATGACAGGAGACAAATGTAGTCCGCCAAACACATTGTCAGAAAGAAATTATGACATTGGAGGTCTCAACAGAAAACAAAACAAAACAAAACAAAAAATGGAACCAATCCTAGACATACTCTAGTGGATTTCTCAAACCAGATAAAATAAAGAAAACTCTCCAAGGGTCTACAGGGGAATAAAAATAAAACAACAAAAGAGTCAAACTGGTCTAGCTTCATTTCATCTCGGACATTAGAAATGACACAGTGGTATTGGATTGCCTGGCATTGATAGGGGGCAAAAAAAAATCATTATTAATTCCACAGAGGGACTTTTGGGGAATGAGCCATTTCTCCCCAAATACCATTACAATAATTTCAAATACAGTTTATGCAATCCATGGCATTTCACTCAGTAATTGTGCAGTGCTGCAAAGCTGTGTTGCGTACAGGGATCTGTGTTAAGGAGTCCTACAGTGAAATCTTTATCCCCTAAAACAGACAGTTTTTGTCACGGTTGATTATTGCATCCGAAATACTTAGAACACAGAAAGAGGGTTTCATTCTTAATCCATGCTTCAAAAAAAAAAAAAAAAAGAAGGCAAAACAGATGATGATTTACAAATGTCTTGCTAAAACTAGGGTGCAGAGAACGTATCCGTGCCCTCACATCTACAAAGCCATGGGACAGGAACAAAATACCCTTAACAGGATTTTCTGACTATGACCAAATATATTTGCATTTTCCTCGGTGAGGGACAAAACCAGAATTGGCTGATTTTAATGGTTTCAATACTTCCCTCTGTAGCTTAGTGCCCCCTTCAAGTGGGGGGAAAGTATTCCCACATTAAAATTTAGAATGAAAAACCTTTTTAAGAATTTATGTATTTTCTGAAATCCCCTCAAATGTCATGTGCTACAAAAAAAAAAAAAAAAACAAAAAAAAACATTTGTTTGGGAAAGACAAGGTGGGGTATTTTAAGAACTGAGCATCTATGACTGTGCTGACAATGTTATCCTCTATAATTTCAGAAATTCGGGATGCTCCTTTTACTTTACCGAGGACCCCGCCTGACACGTAGGACATGGCATTGGCGTGAACCAAACTCTCAGAGACCTACGCCTGCACCATCCATGCTCAAGGTGAGCTGGAAAATCTGGTGAGCATGCACACTTCCTCAGAAGTGAGTACCGTGTGCATTCTATAAGCTACTTGCTGCTTATAGACCTTGCCCTACAGGTGTTTGTGGGGGACGTAAGAGGGGCCTCCCTGCTGTGCTAATCATATTGAGCACCGTCTGTGGTGGATCCTGCATGAAGGAATCCTACAGTGACATCTTTATCCTCTACATCAAACCATTTTTTTCAGAGATTGAAGATCAGGAGATGGAGATTAAAGTCAGCACTTTGTTACAGCACGCTCTCATGGGGGCCCCTGGCAGTTGGACCCAGGAGAGAGGGTACCGTGCACCTGGGCCACCTGGAGCCCGATTGGTTCCGAGCCATAGCTGGGCTGACAACAGCTCCGTCAGCCCCTGGCGGGTCTGCTGGACAGGCACCATCCATGAGTGGTAGATAAGATGTCTAGAACAAGTTGCTCGGTCTCCACAAGGGCCCTGGGAGGAAGGCACTCTTCTGGCCACTTTTTAAAAAAATAAGAACATTGAGACATACCATTCGAGTCAACCTCCCCTAAGTTCACAGAGTTAGCTCATGAGGAAGAGCCCGGATACACAGTCAGAGTGTCAGGGGCACGAAGAAGAAATGAGCGGCGTGCCGGGGCCGAGAGTCCATTTCAAAACATGCTTGCCCTCTGTTGGAAAACCCAGATGGCTCAGAAGTTCAGAGGCAGAAGGACCTTCCTTCCAGGGTGGAAATGGATTTGCCCAGAAGCGCTCTGGCTTCTGCTTGGAAGCGCCCAGGGATGAGCTCACAGGAAACTATGTAGTGGCCATGGCTGTCACGTCACTGGTGTGTGATTCTTGGATTTTCCTCCGAGAAATCAGCGTGCAGGGGTTGGTAGTCCCACTTGTGGTAGCTGAGCTTCAGTAAGGGCTGGTCATGCTAGCAACACAGTGGTCTCCCCAACCAGACCCTGCAAGGCTCCCCTGAGCCCAAGCTTACGTGGCAGGTGGGGAGATGGCAGACTCATGTTGGAATCCCTAAATCTTCTGTGCATTTCCAGGCATAGCAGGTATAAGGAATAAAAAGGCACTTCCCCCCAAATAGGAGGCACGCTCCTTGTCCACGAAGGGTTCCCCAACCTTGACGTTTGAATGTGAGGTCCTTGGATGTCCGGGGAGAGGTGGTGCAAGAAAGAACCTCAAAAAAGGTGCACCTTCACAATTATGCATAAAGTGTGAGTCTATGTGTGCACCTACTCTAGGAAGAGTGTGCAGAGTTTTTGTTCACTGTGAACGAGATCTTTGAACCCAGGCTTGTAAAGAGCATCAAGGCAGTGGTTAAAAAGATGGGGACTTGCCGCCCCACGCCGTGCCTCTGCCACTCTTGAGAGGCAAAGGGACAATCGTGAGAAAGCTCATTTGGAGTGCATTCTTGTCCAGACGGGATCTCAGTGCATCTCTGAATTTCTTTTCCTCAAAGCTGGACGGGTCCAGAGAACACACCCGCGGCAGCCCCAGTAGGGGAGCGCCGGAGAGGTTTGCAACTAGGATGAGTGTCAGAGGTGGCCGGGATGGGGCTGTTCCCCACGTCTGAGCTCCTCTCGGGAGCTGATTACAGACCACTTTGCATCATGAGGAGGAGTGATGCACACAGGCAGCCCAGTCCATTACCTCCTACCAGCCGCATCCCGTGCCCTGCGTTTGGCAGTAAGTCTGCCTGGCATGCCTTGTCGCCTCTCGTCAGGCTCCGCGATGCCTCGCTCTGTGTTTTCCCGGAGGTGGCGCCTCAGGGAGTTTGCTCCTTCCCGTGGCAGATTGCTCATGACTTAAATCCTGTTTCCGGCTTCCCACCAGGATGACAGGTGGTCTGACTGGGAAGGGACTTTGGGGACCTGCGTGTTCAGACTGAGAAACCCAAGTCTCGACAGCAACATGGCAGATTTGGGTGATAGGAACGCATCTGAGCGTCTGCACCTCCGATTATGTCTCAGTTATCGTTGGGCTTGCATGAGCGCACCTGCATGATGCTTGGAGTCCTTAGTGGATACGTGTGTTTACGTGGGTATAAGACACACGTCCGTACATACATATAAATATGTCCTCGTCCCCACACGCACACACACCCATCACGTATATACATGCACATACCTACACAGACACACACACACCAACATACTTTACAAACTACTACGTACAGACAATTCGCCACAACATATTTTGCAATATCAATGATATAAAACCTTCCACCCTGGCAGGTGCCATCAGAAAGTTTTTTCTCCATCGTTCAGACATAGCAATGGGGACTTCTTTATTATTATTATTATTGCAAGTGATTTGTTATTTATAATTGAAAGAATCATGTATGATTGCAAGTCCCCCAAACAGCTAGATTCTTGTCTTCAGAAGCATTTTGAATGTACCACCCATTTCTCTGCCTTTACCCGGACACCTGCTCCCAGCCACCTGGGATGCTTTCTTATGTTTCCATGTATTTTTTTTTTTTCCTTTCCTGCAAGAGCTCATAAATCCTGGGTGGATTTATTCTGTGCTTGTGTATGAGCTGGAATGCCTATCACCCTCTCGATGGCGCTAAGGTCAGCCCTAAGTAGGGTCAGATCTTGCATTCGTCAGGGTTCTCCAGAGAAATAGAACTGGTAGGATGTGTACACGTATACAGACAGATTTTTTTTTTAAGGAATTGGCTCATGCCGTACTCAGAGCTGAGTGGTCCAAAATCTTCAGGGTAGACTAGCACTCTAGACATGCAGGAAAGAGCTGGTGTTGCAGCTGAGCTGTGCAGGCCCTGTGCAAGCAGAATTCCTTCTTGCTCAGAGGAAGTCGCTGCTTATGCTTTTAAAGCCTTCAACTGATTAGACGAGGCCCACCTGCATTGTGGGCCGCAATCCGCTTCATTCAGAGTCCACTGCTTGAAATGTTAATCTCATACCAAAAAATATATACAGATAAAACACCTTTAAAAGAAATATCCAGAATAATATTTGACCACATCTCTGTGGCTGGGCCACATTGACACGTAACATTGACCATCACAGATCTGCTCACTGTTCAGGAAGATATCCGTGACAAGATGACTGGAGACCTGGCCAGGACCAGGAGCCAGTGACAGGCTCCATAACGTTTCAAACAGAAATTTTCCATACCAGCAGGGGCTAATCCCCATTAATCAAATATTCACTTGCCACGCAAAATACGTGAATTGGTAAAACTCCCATGTCTCCCTACCTCATGGGCCTGGCATATTGTAGCTGCCCGAAGATACAAACATCACTATCTGTTCTTTGTCCCCCTGTACACATCGATAGCCTTGCACAGAAAGTCTGAAGAATATGATGATGCCTTGGTGTGTTTTGTGGCAAAGAATTATTCTTTTTTCTGTGGATCACTTTTGCAGAAATCATACCAGATGTCAGAGTGCACATCACGGCTTCTCAGACATTCATGGGCACACAGTTTCCAGGAATCTTGCAAAAGTGCAGATTCTAATGTAGCAGGTGTGGGGCAGAGCTGAGATCTTGGCGTTGCTAACAAGCCCCCAGGTGAGGTCGATGCTGCAGGTGCATAGGATACCCCCTGGGCATCAGTGGATAGACCTTCATCCTCCGAAATCCAGGACAACACAGAACCAGGCATGAATAGGTTTCTTGATATCTAGTCTCTATGGGATCTCCGTAGGTGAGTTTCTGTAAGTCCTGGAGTATCATCCAAGCAAGGTGTTGCCTACAACCTGGACGTCAGGTGTGCTGGAGGAGGCGGCCACCCGGGAAGTCTTCTGCGTGTTAGTTTTGTGCAATCAGGCAGGAAGCATGGCTCATCAACCACAGGAGTTAACATTTGGCCAGCATGTACACATTCCCAAGGCTTCAACCCAAACACCCACCCCTATTAAAATGCTCTCACAGTGCAGCATAAAAAGAGGCAACGAGCAAGCCACCAGGGAACAGAGACAACTAGAGTCAGTGACTCCTACCTGCTTGTAAAGTCCGGGTACACAAATCTGTTCATGACGCCCAGCTACCCCCACCTGTGCTCACGAGACATTGTCTAGAACCAACCACAGGGCCTGTGGTGTGCACGCCTGCCTTCCATTCCTGCCGTGCAGGAATGTTTCGGTGCATTCATCTTGAAGAGAGTGTGTGGAAGACAGAAACCAGACGTATGGCCGATCGCACTGGCCCGTGATCACATTTAAAGAAGGGCAAGTAACAAAATCAGACTTTGGTGTGTTGTGTGCAAATGTACCTTCGTTGTATGGACCAGGCCATGGCTAGTCGCCCAGCTCTGAGCCCATATACCTGGCACCGATGACTTGAAGACCCCTAAAGTTTACCCCAATTTCTATTTCTCTGGATTCCATAACAGTGCACATAATAAGTATATTAGCTATCACTTAGATATATATAATATATTTACATATACATGATAATGCATATGATACTATGTATATGATATATACATAATATAAATTTGCTTAGATATATAATATATATTTATACATATATTACAATATATATCATGCAATATATAATATACATATTACATATAGAATACATAATATAAATTTTATATATTTATGTATGCATTATATATTGTATTATGCATTATATATTATATATCATATAGTATATGTAATATACTTTCATATAATTATGTATCTAAAATTGCATATGATGTATATATATGTATGGTCTAGGGCTTCATTATATAATTATATTACATAATATATATACATATATTCACATATATACATGCAAATATATAATTATATATGGGTTATATATGTATTATACACACTATATAATATATACATATAAACTATATATTATATAATTATGCATGTTATATAATATATATACATATATCCAAATATATAATTACATATGCATTACATAATATATACATATATACACATATATAGAAATATACATACAAATACACAAATACATAATTATATATATATTATATAATATATACATACAAATTATATAATTATATGTTATA